TCTATCTTACCAAAGAAAAGAGCAGCTAGAATAATCCACAGCCAATGTTCCATCTGTCCAACAAGGTTTAAATCAGCAGGAGAAACTAGCTGATGTTCAACATTCAGTCTGACTATTGTTCTCTTCACAGCAACACTTATTATTGACACAATGCTGGAACACAGAGCACAAGGAGAGCTCCGCCTACTGGATGATGGCGCTCTTTAGTGGAGTTTATGGGACATTGCAGCTTTTTGTAGAGGATCCTCTTAGAGATCCACTGTCTTGGTCTAAAAAGTCATACCAGGGTGTTTTATCTTAAAAGTGATTCAGCCAGCAGTTCAAGGTTACTGAGGGTGAAGAGAGATTCCAACTCTGATGAGCAGGTAGTGACAAATTTACATAATTCACCACCCAAATGTTGCAGTTGATTTATAAAAATACACAAATGCTTTTGAATAATATCTTTCAATATTAAAGATTCTCATAAAAATAAGACATGACATTATAATATTGTAAGTGACACACTGATATTTAGAATGAGGCACGATGATGCTCATTGGTGCTCATTCTGCAAAGATGCCATCCTTAGATTAGGGAGAAAAACTGTTCATTTAGACCTAAAGAGTCAATAAAAAAAGACTATCCTTATTCTATATTTCTTCAAACTAAGGATTTCTCCAGGAGGTTGTGAGGAACAGAGTCTAGGCCAAAAATACAACCAAGATAAGTCATTGAAGTTATAACAGTTTATTTCAGAGGTGTGTTTGGTGAGCCTGGATCGAGCTCAGAGATCCGGGGATTGGCATAGTTTGAGAGGAGCAGGCTGGGTGGTAAATTTAAAGGGCTTTAGATATCTTGATGTAGTTCTGACCATCAGTTACTAGACTCCTTTAATCTTATTATAAATATTTTATATTATAAATTATATCTTTTTAAAATGGTGCCCCGATTTAATAATGTATTATTAGGCTGTCTAAATAAACCTGATGGATTATTAAAGACCCTATTTAGGAATATTCAATACCAGGATTAAGTCTCTCATCTTTCCTGTTTCTTAGTTGAAATCTCCAAAAAAGTAACCAATAGGTGCAACACACACTGATGGTATAGAACCTAATACAGAAACAACTGATAGGAATTACATCCCATTCAATGGCTGTTCCCATTAAAGGAAATGATAAGTTCTCCGCCTGATAGGACCGTTGTTAGATGGGCTGAAGGAGGTTCGTTTCAGTAGGCCAGTTATTTGACATTTCCCAACTAAACTACACATTTTCTCCCCTGCCCAGTGACCTATGCAGGTTTTTAGCACCTAATCATCACATTCTATAGAATAACAAAACATTCAAGAGATCAATAAATATAGAAATAAATTATTTGAGTTCTCTGAAATAGTTATATTTCAATAAATACTTTAAAAAGAAAGAAAGAAGACATAAAAACTACATGAAATAAAAAAATGAATTAAAGGTCAAGTCGCAAAGAAAGAGAAAAACAACTTATGAAAAAGGAAAAATAGAGTGCAATTATCAATAGATGGGGCTTATTGGGGTTAAAAAATGTTACAATAAAAACAGCGAGTTTACAGCGATATTAATACAATGATATTAAATCAACAAAAAACAACAAAATCAATTAAACTGTAACCCTAACCCTATCCATATGGAGAAGAAAGTGCTTTACAAGATAATATGAAAAGAAGATGACAGGACAAAACAGATAATATAAAAATCTAAAAAGAAAATCAGATAAACAGGATAAAAACAAACAAGGCATGATAGCTCAATTCAGTAACTGTTCTAAGATCTATATAGAAAAAGAAAACCAGAATATAAACGAAAGGAAAGCATTGTCCAGAGAAGGAAAGGCCTGTCTGAATGGATGTGTTTTCAGCTTTGATAAAGTAATGGATTGCAGCTCTGGAGGTGAAGCTTCCAACAACTTAAGGCAAAACAACGATCAATGTTTGCTTCTAGTCATGCAGGGTTAGAAGCTCTGAACAACATTGTGGCGAATATTTAGAAGTTTAGGTAACTATGCTGCAGTAAGGGTTGTTATGACAACAGCAACACTTAAAAGTCTATCTTAAAAAAAATAATAGGAAACTGGTGAAAAGAATAGAGAATGTCATACAGGCCTTATTTGGAGGATATGAGAGAAACCAAGCAGCTGCATTTTGGATTAGTTGAAGTTTACAAAGAATAAACTGGCCAGACTGTAGTCCATCCTTGAACAAATGGATGCATGCATTGTCTTTAAGGTCAATCCAGGACAGAAATGGTTTTGTGTTTTGATTGGAGTCCTACCTGAAAAAAAGCCTCGTTCCACTCAGAAGAAGAAGGCAGAAAACACAATAAAATGTCAAAGTCTCAGTAAAAATAACACAATAGGATTTCCTTTTATGTTTTCAAAAAAGAAAAAGATTGACCAACCTGTGGGGGAGAATGGGACAGTTTTTTTTTTTTTTTTCAAATTCAAGATGGATGGGATTGTGGTTGGGTTGGGTAACTCTAGAAAACTGATATATTAGTTGGAATTTTTAAACCTCCATCAATATGCTTAAATTTGTTTCTAATTATAGATTTCATTTGCTCATATTCTAAGAATGTATTTTTTTTTGTTAATGCCATATTGCAAATTTAATCTAGCAAATGTGATAAACTCCGTACGTTCAAACAAATGATCCAGATATGTAATACCTTTATTCTTCCAGTACGGAACGTTTATCACATTATTATTTTGTAGAATGTCAGGGTTATTCCAGATGGGTGTACGACTGCACGGGATAAGTGATGACTTCGTCATTTTAAGAAATTCCCACCATGCTGTCAGGGAAGAGCTGATGTTAATATTTTTAAAACATGGGTGCCGCTTGATATTAGAGCTAATAAACGGCAAATCTGAAATTATGATATTACTGCATATATCCTGTTCTGTGTCTATCCAGGGCTCATCTAAGGGATTATATTTTATCCATTTAGAGATGTATTGTAATCTATTTGCTAAGTAGTAGTGTTGGAAGTTAGGTAAATCTAGTCCCCCTCTGTCTTTAGTTTTCTGTAGTGTCTTTAAGCTGATACGAGGGGGTTTGTCCTTCCAAAGAAATTTAGAGATGGAAGAATCTAGAGATTTAAACCATTCGGTTGATGGTTTATTTGGGATCATTGAAAATAGGTCGTTAATTCTTGGTAAGACCATAATTTTAATTGAGGCTACCCTACCTATGAGGGAGATCGGAAGCTATTTCCATCTTTCTAGATCCTCTTCTATCTCTTTTAGAGGGATGTGGTTGAGTTTTGGTAACTCAGCTCGTTTAGATGACACAGTAATTCCCAAATATTTGATATTTCCTGATTGCAATTGTAGACCTGAGGGATTCTGTAGAAAGCAATTAATTGGTAGTATTACAGATTTAGACCAATTTATAGAGTAATATGAGACTTTTGAGAAAGATTCTAGTAATCTAATTACTAGAGAGAGGCAAGTGTTTGAGAGCTGGAGATAAAGTAATATATCATCTGCGTAAAGACTAATTTTATGCTCTATTTTCATGCCTTTTATACCTTTAACCACATTAGTTTGTCTGATTGTAGCAGCTAGAGGCTCAATGAAAATAGCAAAAAGTGAGGGGGAGAGTGGGCATCCCTGCCTGGTGTCCCTCTGGAGACAAAAGCTGGAAGATGTTGGATTATTTGTCCTGACACAGGCTGTTGGGAAGCTGTATTTATAAAGGAATTGCCAAAGCCAAATTTATTTAGAGTAGCAAATAAAAAATTTCAGTTTACTCTATCAAATCCCTTTTCTGCATCTAAAGACAATATGTAGCATTTAATATTTTTACTGTAGGAATAATCTATTAAATTAGATTATTCTTATGGTAAAAATATTAATATTTCCGTTTTTTTGTGTATCTTAGCCCTGTTTGATGGAAAATGTAAATCTGGTGACTCTTAAAGGTGTTCTCATATGTTAAGACCTGGTCTCAGGAGGAAATTATTTGAACTTAAATTGCCCTATCTTTGGTTGGAAATAAACATAAAAAACAAACATACAATCCACTTTCAGATCGTCTGATGACTTTTCTTTTCACTGAGCCAAAAAAATAACACTAAATCTGTCGCATTGAACGTCTTAGTGTGATATCAAAAGTACAAAAAAACAGGAAACAGAAGCTTATTTTAGCATGATGAAACTGCCAGCATGCTTGTAGCTTCCACAGCAGCTCTGTCTCTATGCTTTACTATTTCAAGTCTTTGTCATAAGTCCATTGACTCAACTATCAGTTAACAGTGTGTGAGGCCCTCTAGTGGATGTGGTGGAGTATTGCAGGTTCTAGTACAGAGTTCTGGTGTTTCCTGTCACTGTGGGCCTCACAGCACAGTAGTACACAGCAGAGTCAGTCAGCTCAGCAGAGGAGATCAGCAGCTCCATCTGGGTTTTATCATCACTCACTTTGAAGGAAAAACCAGGAACCCCCTGAGATATTTCTTTTCCAGTTCCTAAGTGAGAGATCAGGAACTCTGGAGGTTTTCCAGGATATTGTCGATACCAGAAGAAATAATCAGAAGCAGTTGCTTGTGTAGAAAAATTGTAGCTCAGAATAACAGAAGTTTCCTTCAAGCTGATAACTTCCGCATTATGTGGAGTCAATTGATTACATCTGATCCCTAAAGGGAGAAATATTTAACAGTTGTTAGTTTTCAGATGCTTTGTATTGATACTTTGAAACATGTTTAACACATTTCAAGGAAATTAAGGAAGACATATCTGTAATCATTTTAGTTACTATTCACACAAATTAGCATGATTTTGACCTGTTAGCAGTGAGGCGACCAGCAGAGAAAGTCCATAATAGTCCATGATGATCAGAGTTAATGTTTGAACTGTGTTGAATGTGGAAGTTTGTGTCTCTTCTATAGTTCAGTAACAGCTCAGCTCCTCCCTGAAGCTCTCAGCTCCTCCTTCCCTTGTTAGCAGACAGCTTCTTCTGTCACAATACATAGCGTCAATTCACAACAGGTTTCTTCTCTGGAAACTTTACAGAGACAATCAGATTGTTCAAAGGTTTGTATTTAAGGAAAACCAGCTGATGCATCAAGTGTTTAACTGTGGGCTATGCTACTCATGGTTGAGCATTTGGGACAAAATATATTCGCTGGCACTGTGTCGTTGATTTTACAGCAACCCCTCACACTTAACATGCATGCAGCAGTGGGGTAAAGAAAACCTCCCTTTTAACAGAAAAAAAAACTTCCAACAGAACCTGGCTTATTGTGAGCAGCCATCTGCTGAGGGGTTCAATAGGGCAGAAGCAGACATACAAGAGGAACATAGAGGCGGTGATCTATAAATACTTTCTTTGTTATAAAAGGTAACAGTTAATATTAATCCATATATGGGCCCTTGCTCAATCTGAATACTCCAAATTGGCAGAATGCATTCATGGTAGAGGTTACATGGGTGATTCAAACAATGCTAGCAGTAAGGAGAAGGGCTTTCTTTCTCCAGTTTATTTATCTTACTGACCTCCAGACATTCCTGAGGATGAGCATGAAATGGATTAGGTGGAGAATGAAATTGTTATCCTCACCTACTTGTCTTAAAGGGGAACGCCGTTTATTTTACATTGGGCCCTTGATTTTATGTTATTACATCATGTTCTACTCACCCATATGAATTTTGTGTCATGTGGAGCCGTTCTGAAGATATTCTGTTAGGTTATATCCAAGTAACGTCTTCCTATGGGCAACGACTTGAAGGCACAAACTAAACTGTTCATTATTTATTTTTTATGTTACGCCAGCATTCAGAACTTGTAGGCGAATCCCTGTCCCCCAGACATCCACGGTTATATTTTTTATATTTATATATTTTAAAAACAAAGCAGTGTGTGCATGACATCATATCAAAGAGGTTTCTTTCATCAGTGCAATATTGCAAAAATGAGAAATCTCCTGTCCAGGGGTGATGCTGAGAATCTAGTCCATGCATTTGTTACTTCAAGGCTGGACTATTGTAATTCTTTACTATCAGGAAGTCCACAAACTGTAGTTAAAAGTCTTGTTTTAACTGTAGTTAAATGCCTTCAGCTGATCCAAAATGCTGCAGCCAGAGTTCTGATGAAAATGAAAAAGAGAGATCATATCTCTCCTATCCTGGCTTCTCTTCATTGGCTTCCTGGTAAATCCAGAATATAATTTAAAATCCTCCCTTTCACAGCTCACTTACAAAGCCTTAAATGGCCAAGCTCCATCTGATATCAGAGATCTGATTGTTCCTTGTGTTCCTAACAGAGCACTTCACTCTCAATCTGCAGGTTTACTAGTGGTTCCTAGAATTTCTAAAAGTAGAATGGGAGGCAGATCTTTTAGTTCTCAGGCTCCTCTCCTGTGGAACCAACTACCAGTTTTAGTCCGTGAGGCAGACACCCTGTCTACTTTTAAGGCTAGGCTTAAAACTTTCCTTTTTGATAAGGCTTATTTTAGGAATCCAGTTTCTGTGGGTTGTTTGTGTGTTTTTCTCCCTTCATCACCAGGTGGACCTCCCTGCACACCTGCGGCTCGTTAGATCATTACTGGAGGAGCATTTGAGCAGTGGGCAGTTTTGGGTACTCTAGCTAAACTGAGATTAGCAGAGTCTAACCTAAGCCTCTGAGTCTTATCTAGTTTTTGTCTTTGCACCTTGGCAGGAAGCCTTCCTGAGTAACTGGATACCAGGACCTTCTCCCCTTGGAAGGATTGACTGAGTACACACTGAGCAGGGCAAAACCTCCACGTGATCCGTTCAAGTCCTCAACGGAAATCCAAGTGAAAGTACGCTCCTTTACTCCTCTGGGTCCTACGCTTGTCTATCTGCCCGTCCTCCGAGTTCACTCTTCTCTGGATTCTTACGGTCCCTGAACTGATCACTGTGATCTCCCCTTCAGACTTTCCTGTTCACCAGTCCACTGAGTTCCAGATCCAACTTCTGTATTTCAACAACATTGAATATACCTGTTTAACCGTTTCCCTTGGTCTCTGAGTGGTTCTCTGCATGTGGGTCAGATCGCTTAAACCAATCATGACAGCTTATAGTTAGGCTGAGGTTATCCTGAGCTATCGCTATAGTCATGCTGCTATAGGCTTAATGCTGATTTACACTCAGAAACAAGTTTGTCTGTGAGTGTATCGCAGTGAATGCAAATGCGCCTCTGCCCCTTCAGCAGACACTCTGCTGCACCTCTCCAAAATTGTAGCAAACTGCAGACAGGAGGCCTCAGATTGGACAAATCTACATCCGCTCTGCACTATGCATATTTCCTGTTTGGTACCTTACCAGTTTGTTTTGTTAGTATGACCGCCATTGTGGAAAACCAATCATGAAATGGACCAGCTAGAAAAGTAAGGTGCGCGAGAATGCTAGCACCCTCTTTCCTACTGGATCCCCGTTTTTTTTTTGGCCCTCATGTCCCTCCATTGTAGACAAACTTACCCCCACTTTCTCACCGCCTCAGCCGTTTCTAGACCCACAGCTAGTTTGTGATCTGCCTCTGGCGTTGTGGCGGGGAATAAGATAGCAAATCAAAATACAAATCAAAAATACATGCAACAAGCTCACTGCAACAGAATGCTGCGGGAGGAAAACCAGCCCTTTAGACTGCTGTAGGACATAGGGATCCCTTTTTCATCACTCTCCTGCATTCCATCTCTGTTCTCCCACTGTGCAGAATCTGTTAGTTCAATCTCTAACGTTCTGCTGTCTCTGCTTTTTCTCATAGTAGCTTCATCTGGTCTGTTCCTGTTTGGCTGTGACTCCATCCTGGAGAGAAATATCAGCTGTG